TACTGTTATGTATTTCATGCGCCCCACGTTTTTCGTTTTTCAATTTTTTTCTTAATTATTATTCTCCACTACTAAAACGTGGTTTTTAAAAATATTACTTTTTATTTTGAATTTTTTTTCTGTTATGAGTTTAAATTCCATAAATATTTCTTTTCCAAAAAGTGATAGCAAGTTTAAACTTAAGGTCTTAATCCTTGATATAAAAAATAATATAATAAAAAATATTAATTGTTAAATTAGTTATAATTAAATGAAATATGTTTGAATATCATTATTCATGATCATAGAAACATCAAGTTCTTTTTTAAATATATACATGAATTATTTTTGGGATGTGCCATAAATACATGTTTTCAATAATACTAATTGTTTTTAATGAAAATTTGAAACATTTTTTACTTGTGAAAATATAAAATTAAGGCAGAGGATCTACTCCAGTATGCTCCTCCAACATTGACAGCTAATCTTCCCCTTTCTACATCAGTGTCTGGCGGGTTTGGTAATTTCCAAGCTGTTTGATCACCTTAACAAATACAGTTTGATTACTAATGGAATAAACATTATAATATGATTATCAAAATATTAATACTATTAGTATTCAAACTTTTTTATTATATGATTAATAATGATTACTGATAGAATTAATTACAAAAATATATTACTTTTTGTAAAAGGAAGTAAATGTGTATAATTGAAATGATATGAAAATCAAGGGGGAAGAACAGTTTATGTCCATGAAAGCTGATTCTGAGAAGTAGAAAAACAAGATGCGCTGGCAGGAAGCTTTTTTCCAAGGTACAGCCCAACTTCACTGTGAAATAACTCTCGGGGAGTGCCTATTTTCCATGCTGTGATTTTTCAAAATTTAATGGTTCTTATAATGCATAAAGTGGGGATCCAATTTTCAATTTTATGAAAAAATGAGCATAATCCATTCTTTTTCCTTGATCTCAATATACAGTAAATATTAAAACTTAAAAGAAAATAGACTGTAGTTATACTCTAATCTTAAAACATAGCTTATTGGCATACAATATGCATTGCAGAAAATGCATATGTATTGGTGACAAAAATTTATTTTGGTGACAAAAATTTATTTTGATGTCAGTTGCCTTTTAAAATAATCATTCACTAACAAGCAAATGTGCATAATAAATAACTATTTAAAACTTTTAACTATTTTATATATCTATACTAGAATACCTTAAAACATTCACTAAAACATCAATAAATCTTTGAAGAACAATACAAGTATCAATTATGTGTATAAAAAAAGTAGAAAAGCTGGGAGTTTTTCAAAAAACAAACAACTTCCTTCGATAATCCTGAGATTTTTAACCTTCCACATTTTTTATAAAAACATCTAATTCTTATTATTAAATACAGGAATCTATTTTTACTTCCTCTTCAACATCATTAAACCACCTACATTAAATAGATAGAGTAACTATTAAAATGGATTTCTTAACAAACATGTTCATTAATAATAGATCGGTGTCACTATATTAAAATTACACTTGTTTCTCAGTTCAGACAATGATTCTTATAACTGTGTACCATGTTACCCTCAGGCATCACTGCTTTTTTTAAAAGCTGATAAAAAAAAATTTTAATAGCTATAAATGTGACTTAGTTTCATTAAAAAATTTAGGCATTGCACACTTAGGCTGAGAGCAAGGTCGCAAGTAGAAACTTTTTCGTCCCTCAATGAAATAGATATACCACAAAAACAAATTGAAAGAAATGTTATATTCCACAAGAACAAATTGTTAAGATAAGGCGTTCTGCATTCTAATTCCTCATAAATCTATCACTCCTTATCTCCCCTTCTGCTGACCAGACGAGTGGTCTTCTCGCCGTTCAAACCCCCTTCTTCTAGTGTCCACCAGGTAAAAGGGGGCGACCGCAAACGATTTGTAGCTTACAAATTATCAATTTGTAATTGTGGGATATCTATTTCACTGAGGAAAGCAAAAACAGCTAGTTTTCAGCCTTAGAGTAAGAAAAGATTCAGAAAAGGGCCACCATTTGAAAAGGTTAAGAAACCACTGGTCTAAAGCAAAGTGAAATTTTTTACTAAACGTTAGTTGCATGGAGTCTCTATCTAAATGCTCATTAAAAAAAATTATTTAGTAATAAAAATACATATTTTAAGATAAATTGTGGAAATGATAAAAAAATACTAATAAGTAAACTAATAATAGAATTAATAAGCAAACAGATACTATTTTTATTTTATGAAAAAAAATTGGTTATAAATCAAATTGGTATTAATGCATCAAACCATTAGTACAAACTGTTACACACTCTTTGTCACTTATTTTCATCATAGTATTTTTAATTTTATGGTAAAATAAATAGCATTAATAAATATAAATAATGATAATATATAATAAAGTATAAACAATGGTGAAGTTTTGTACAGAATTATAATGAGACGGTTAGATATAAGAAAGATATGAAAGTCAGGGGAAGAGAATGAAAAATAATATTTTTTAAAATAATGCGTGTTAAGTTAATAAAAATTTAAATAGATGGCACTGGAGTCATATTTTAACAAAAACTTTCTTTCACTAAGAGACAGTATAATTAATTTCAGTTTCAATTTGTAAGCAATTCATAGAACAACAGCTAAGAAGTCTAATTGGAGATCAAAATGCATCAACTCAAAAACATTTAATTCAATCATTGTCCCAGGTCATAATATCTTTCTTGAGTAAAAATATTCGTATCAAATCATATTCCTTTTTGATAGCAGGAAATTAATAAAGATAAATTAATTCTGTTAAATTTACAGAAACTGTCAAATCGAATAATGTGTATAAAAAGTTTAATCTGTAATAATCTGAGTTCATTTCACAAAAAAAAAAAAATAATAAATAAACAGAAATAAAACATCTAGAGAAGAGAAAAATATGACTTAGAAATACACATCTTCATATCTTAATAAATAAATAAGTAAAATTGAATATACCATTATCTTATTTCTTTAGTTATTATTTAATGTTTAAATACATCGGATTAGACTGAAAACATAAATCCTTGAGTTGAATTGATGCAAATAAAACTAATTAGCATATTTTAATTTGCAAAAAAATAACAATAATTTTTTTTTCAACATGCATTCAAAACAGAATAAAGTAAATATATATAAAAGAACTATCAGAGAAATTTCATTATATGCTTCATTATATGATTTATATGCTTCATAAATTTCATTATATGAAATCGCTAAAAATTTCAGAAGTTTAAAGAATTCTTTATACTTATAGGGGGATAAAATTAATTTACACAATTACACTAAACTTCTAAATTTCACACGGAACAAATATTATATTCACTTTAGAATCGCAAAAAGAATAATCTCTTTCGAGATTTTACCTTTTGTGAGCTTAACTCAATGATGCATAAAAATTTCTTTATTTGTCTGAAATATTGAGGAGGATGAATATCTAATTATTGAGGGGGACATATATCCTCACTCCTGTCAACAACGTTCAAGGCCTCTTAACTTTTAAAAACTTTTATAACTTTTAGACTTTCACTCATAAAACTTTTTAGAGTAATGAACTTGAGTTTAAATGGTTTATATGCTTTAGACACTAAAAAGGAAGACTTTTGCTGATGTTACACAGATCTACATGTGACATAATGCTCCAAACAACAGAGAAAGAAGCATTTTTTGACAGTTTTCAGCACTTCTGCATTGATTGTTAAAAGTATGTTGCGGCTAATGGTAATAACTTTGTATGTCACTAAAGTTGTTTTTTATCCCCTGATTTTATGAGACAATTCACCAAATTTTTTGAACACAACGGATATAAACAAGTATTAACTAAATTAAGATTCAATAAAACTGCCTAACAGCATGAGACCCACATTTTAAAGTGATTTAATTTAAAAACATTTACATCAAAATAAAAAAGTTAACTTGAAAATTGAGAATGAACAAGATCATTAACAAAATTGGATGGTTACATATTTTTGTAAATGAACAGAATATTTAAAAAAGTAACAAATGGATAAAAATAAGAAATGAATATAGCATGAAGAGTTCAAACAGAAAAGCAAAAATTATAAGTGCCCAGTGAAAAAAAAATTTTGAAAATATTTTTGCTAAACTTCACAATTGATTTCAATTTATACTTCGAAAACTCAAAACATATAAAAGAAAAAAGTTAGGTTTCATTCAAAATGCATAAATATCAAAGGAGAATACATTTTTACCACGTTTATATAAACTTGCCTTCGTGTATGTCTGTCCGGGTGGAATTTTGTANCAAACAGAAAAGCAAAAATTATTAATGCCTAGTGAAAAAAAAATTTTGAAAATATTTTTGCTAAACTTCACAATTGATTTCAATTTATACTTCTAAAACTCAAAACATATAAAAGAAAAAAGTGAGGTTTCATTCAAAATGCATAAATTTCAAAGGAGAATACATTTTCTGTTATGAGTTTAAATTGCATAAATATTTCTTTTTCAAAAAGTGATAGCAAGTTTAAACTTAAGGTCTTAATCCTTGATATAAAAAATAATATAATAAAAAATATTAATTGTTAAATTAGTTATAATTAAATTAAATATGTTTGAATATCATTATTCATGATCATAGAAACATCAAGATCTTTTTCAAATATATACATGGATTATTTTTGGGATGTGCCATAAATACATGTTTTCAATAATACTAATTGTTTTTAATGAAAATTTGAAACATTTTTTACTTGTGAAAATATAAAATTAAGGCAGAGGATCTACTCCAGTATGCTCCTCCAACATTGACAGCTAATCTTCCCCTTTCTACATCAGTGTCTGGCGGGTTTGGTAATTTCCAAGCTGTTTGATCACCTTAACAAATACAGTTTGATTACTAATGGAATAAACATTATAATATGATTATCAAAATATTAACACTATTAGTATTCAAACTTTTTTATTATATGATTAATAATGATTACTAATAGAATTAATTACAAAAATATATTACTTTTTGTAAAAGGAAGTAAATGTGTATAATTGAAATGATATGAAAATCAAGGGGGAAGAACAGTTTATGTCCATGAAAGCTGATTCTGAGAAGTAGAAAAACAAGATGCGCTGGCAGGAAGCTTTTTTCCAAGGTACAGCCCAACTTCACTGTGAAATAACTCTCGGGGAGTGCCTATTTTCCATGCTGTGATTTTTCAAAATTTAATGGTTCTTATAATGCATAAAGTGGGGATCCAATTTTCAATTTTATGAAAAAATGAGCATAATCCATTCTTTTTCCTTGATCTCAATATACAGTAAATATTAAAACTTAAAAGAAAATAGACTGTAGTTATACTCTAATCTTAAAACATAGCTTATTGGCATACAATATGCATTGCAGAAAATGCATATGTATTGGTGACAAAAATTTATTTTGGTGACAAAAATTTATTTTGATGTCAGTTGCCTTTTAAAATAATCATTCACTAACAAGCAAATATGCATAATAAATAACTATTTAAAACTGTTTTAACTATTTTATATATCTATACTAGAATACCTTAAAACATTCACTAAAACATCAATAAATCTTTGAAGAACAATACAATTATCAATTATATGTATAAAAAAAGTAGAAAAGCTGGGAGTTTTTCAAAAAACAAACAACTTCCTTCGATAATCCTGAGATTTTTAACCTTCCACATTTTTTATAAAAACATCTAATTCTTATTATTAAATACAAAGCTGTATTATCCAATCAAAAATTTGTAGAAAACTTTACTTCAGATATTGTATTTCAATAATAAACAGCTCCAAATAATTAGCAAATAGATGATAATTATGTATGTCAGTTACATTTAGTCATTTTATTGTTTTATTAGTATGTAAACTTTGCATTTATCTTTAAGTGTGTATTATTACAAAAACTTTTTCCCCTATTATGCATTTTACAGCAAAATTTTGTAACTCATCATAAGTAATATTCATACTATTAAACAAAATATACAAAAAATTTTCAAGACAATTTGAAGATGTCAGAAAATTTATCTAGTTATAATTAAGAAAACAACTATGTCAAAATAAGTTCACATATTAATTTCTTATATTAATTAGTCATATAAATTAGTTAAATTAATTAGTTACATTAATTATTTATATTAAATAAATATACATTACTTGAAAAGTCAGGTAAATCAGATGATACTGCTACTTTCGAAAGTTCTGCCAAATATTTTTCATCAGGTTCAGATACAGAAGTAGGGGATGTTAAAGTCAATTCCACTGTGCAGTCATGATTGGACGGCTAAAAAACAATTTTTTCGTATTTACAAACAAGTTTATAATAAATATTTAACACACTAATTACACTCAGATAAAGAAGTAGGGGATGTTAAAGTCAATTCCACTGTGCAGTCATGATTGGAACGCTTCAAAACAAATTTTTTCGTATTTACAAATAAGTTTATAATAAATATTTAACACACTAATTATGTGATCAATAATTAAATATTTATATGAATACTGGTTTATACAAAAAAAATTATTTAAAATTTGAGGTTGGGTGCACATGAATAATAATTAAGGAATTAGTAACAAAAGAGAAATATTAAAATTTATTAAATATTCTAAAAATGTAATCAATTAAAAGAAAATTTTAGTCTTTAGAGTAGAGTAGCAATAAACAAATTAATAGTTAAAAATGCACCCTCATATAGTGTCATCACACTTACATTATTGATAAAAGAATTTGAGTTCTTGGAGGTGTATACAGGGTTGCCACGAAAAAAAAATGAACAAAATAGTTGCTTTTAGTAGCTTAAAGCATGAAAATAGTTGCCTAAAAGTGAAAATTACAAAAAAATAGTTGCCTAAATAAGAACTGAAATTCAGCAAAAATAAGACTAAAATGTTATTAACTGACTTAATTGTCATGCACCATGATCCATTTAGTCAAGTTGGTGGCAAATATGATAATTTTTATATAAACGTTAGTGTTCTAGCACTAAATTTTTATAAATATAAAAAAAATTGCATATTTGCAGAAAATCAAATTCTTTTAATTATAGAATTCATTCAAAGAATCCTTTCTCATTAAAAACAAAACACTTTTTCTAAGAAATTTTCCCTTTTAACAATAATTGATATAGCAAATATATATATATGGTGAAAAGTGATTACTCAGATTTGAAATTCATGCATTGTAANACATAGAACACAGATAGAGGGAAAGAAACATCCATGCCTTGCCCGGGATTCGAACCCAGAACCTTTCTGATGCAAGGACAGTTCCCTGCTCCCTACACAGACTGGTCAGCATAATTGATATACGTAAATATATATATATTGTGAAAAGTGATTACTCAGATTTGAAATTCATGCATTTTAATATCGTATTAATTTTTTTTTCTTTTTTGTAAAAAAAAAAANTATTAAAAATTGGGTTAAATTCATGCAGAATTTCATAGCAATAACCGTTGAAAAGGCGATCGAAAAACAAAAGACTTACAATAGAATCTGTGCAAATTGAACGCATTAAAAAGTGATGACTGAAATTTGCAATCTAAATTTTCTTACAATTTATTTATTTTATGTTTTTATTTATTTATTTTTATTTTTTATTTATTAAGAAAAGAAATTCTGTGTGTTCAGAAGATTTTGCGGGTCGCAGATTTTCAATCCAATTTATGCTAAAAAACATTGCTAAGACTACAGAAAAATCTCCTAATAGTCTCCTTTTCCTGAAAATAGTTGCTTTTTTAACCTTTTCAGGTAAAAAAAAGTTGCCATTGTCGCCTCATGCTGAAAATAGTTGCATTTTAGTCGCCTGTGGCAACACTGAGTATATGAACAATAGTCACCTTCTTCACTAAAACCGGACAGCTTAATAATGCAATCACACAATGGGGAGAATTTGCAATTAATACCTAAAGGTATACTGCATTACTGCAAAGGTTCATTACTGCTGTTTAAGCTTCAGATTGCATGTACAAACATTTTCCAACAAACAGCAAAGCTGTTCAGGAGTAGAAAATAAGGTCAGTGTTACAATTTATGTAAAATAAACTCTACACAATATCTCTCCAATGTTGTGAGAATTTGAGTTCTTAGAGAAATAGTCACCATCTTCATTAAAACAGAACCCTTAAATATTGCCCCTATCCTTACATATTAAAAATGCTGTAACAAAATGATATTGAAAAATACACTTTCAATGGAAAAATTTACAATTTTCAAACATATTTTATATTACAAAATGACGACTAATTAGTAATTCTTCCTTCTCTGAAACAAATAATTAAATTATATTTCAAGTAAACTGTGTTCACATAATCAGCTTCTGAAAAATATGACATTTTTTAGCCATTTTGTCTGTGGCAGTCTTCTTTGTCACTTTGCCTGTGGCCAATCTACTTATTTGAGCAACTATTTGAAGTACATAAAATATGGAAACTCTAAAGAGGATATAATAAAATTTTGGCTTCAAATAAGTAACAAATAAATCTAAAACTTCTAAATATATCTAAATATCTTATAAGTGTACATTAAATAATTTTCCTAAACTATACTTCAGAAATCAAAAATGTTACTAATCAATTACCAATAATCCAAAATATTGCTTTTAAATTAGCAAAAAAATCTATTGTACGGTATTTCGCAATTTCTATCAACTACAATATTAAAAATATCAATGTGTCACAACAAATAATTTAGATCTAATATAATTCAGATTATAAACATTTTTAATAATCAGCAATTAATAATGCATACATACTGATCTTAAACCAACAAAAATCGACTAATATACAAGTTTAGCAGTTAGTTCTAATTACAATTCTAAAAATCAAGTAACTGAATTCTGAAATCAAATATTAAAAAATTTATATTAATTTTAATTACCTGATAATATGGATTATGTTCTTGTTGGAAGATATGATTTTTGTAAAACATATCTATTATAAAGTACTTGTGAATATCATCAAAGCCTCTTCCCATAATTCCACCATGTGTATGCCCTAAGTCAAAAGTGTGACCTAATTCATGTAATGCAGCTCCAAGTCCAGTAGAGTAGCAGGCCCAATAAAATCCTCTAAATAAGAAATAAAATGTTATAAATTAAGTAACACCATAAGAACTATAATAACCCTTAGCTCTATGTTTAAAAATATCATTCAAATTAAGAAAAATAATAAAATTAACAGAACTGTTATAAAAAATTATATAAACAGTAAATTAAAAAGAGAAATTATAAGAGAAATTTAAGATTTTGTTTGCTACAAGAAATAAACTATTGATACAAGTTTAATTTTGATTAAGTAAAATTAACATATAAATATACAATAATATTTTAGTTTGAATTTAACAGAAATTGAGTAATTGGAGAACACTTAATTTGAAAACTGAACATACATTGATAAAACACAATCCCACATGCATGAAAATTTTAAAATAAGTAAGAAATAAAATTTTTAAAAAACTAATTTTTGAAATAGCAACACTTACAGGTAAATTATTTTATAAACAGCATGAAAAAAGACATGTAGTTAATACACAACTATTCATTTGGAATGGAGTGGAGCCTCTTAAACTGATTTGCTTCTAAGATAAATATTTGCCTCATATTAATGTGATCTCCAAAACTAGAAATAGGTACAACCTGTTATAGCTCTGCTTTGCATATGTTAGAGGAAGGGATAAACCTCTTTACCGATTTCAGGAGCAGTTTTTGCTTATATTTTGGCTTTAAGCTCAGTTAACAGTCATTTTAGCTACGTCAGAAAATGAAAAGTTGACTAGTTGTTCATTGAAATGTTTTAGCAATGTATATGGATAAATAGAGCAATAAATTCATTAATTTTTCTTTCTTTAAAAAATTGTTAATAAAACGATTAAGGCCATGATTTTTAAGATGTTTTTAAAAAAAAGTTTAATATAAAGACATTGCTGTCCCCTTAAATAACTATTTACTTTCCTTATATTGGAAGAGCTTATTATAAAAAGATACTAAGTAACATATTTGAAAATTTTTCCATGAAAGATCTTATTTTAGTCTCATCTAATTACACTTTATTTTACTTTGTCAAGTCCTTGAATTCAGCTGGCAAATCTTATTGTATAAAGGTACTAAGTAACAATTTAAGAATTTCCAGTGTAAAAAAACATTATCCAAGTGCATGCAGTGATAAACAGCAAACCTTAAAACTCTTTCGGCACTAAACTAAAAAGCCAAGAGTATGAACATTATTTTGCAAACAATTTAAATCTATGTAATGTTTGGTGCTCACCAATTAGAAGCTTGCAGACAAATAGAAAAGCAAAGTATAAACTTTATTAACTATTGTCTGTATGCAAAAAGAAGGACCAGGCATACTTTAAGCTACATAAATTGATCCAAAAATCGTAAATAAAGCACAAATAAAGAACAGAAATGGGCATAATATAGTCTTGGTTCTCTAAACAAGAACCTTCCTGAGTATCTGAAAACCAAATCAACATTCATTTAGTGTTTAGACACTGAGGAACACTCTTGCTTAGAGAGCTGAAACTAAATTATGTTAATTTTTATCCTTCATTTGTACTTTACTCATATTATTTTTTGCATTAATATTGTAAATGTACATAAACTTTAAAGAATTTATTGAATTCCACAAAATGTCACTTAGTAACCTTCTTTGACTTAGCTCTTCCATTGTCCATAAATTATTTAATCAAAAAAGAAGTATACCTGTTAGCACTATCGTCCATTAATTTCATCCTATCAACTTTTCGATTGTCCCCAAATCTCCAAGGTATTTCTTGAATTGTTTCTGGCCAGGTATGTAAGCAACCAGAGCCGAAAAGCGCTAGACCACCTCCACCTAAAGCAACTTGCCCTTTAGTCAAATTCAAAACTTCTTGGTGATTTTTAGGAATATCATTGGAATTATTAATGTAGCGAGTAAAAGACAAAAATGCTAAAAATTTGCATCGATTTCCAATTCTTAAACTAGAATTCATAAGTTCAACTGCAAAATGAGACCAAAGTTCTTGTTCGTTTAAGCAATAAGCCTCTTTTAGAGATAAAGAACTAGTAAAAACATGACATTTGATATCTTCATTGATCTCTTCCAATCTAAATGATTTTCCTTTCAGATTATGTTCACGAAGTTTGTCTAAGGTAAATGTCTGTAGCATTCGCCCAGCGAGAGAAATACGTTTACAGGCACTATCAATAGAATTATCTTCCTCAACAGGAGATTGGAACAAACCTGGATCATCTTTACATTTAATATACACCAAACGTATAAACCTCTTATTGATTAAAGGTTTATAATTTAAAGAAAATAATTTAATTGAATTTTTATATCTTAATTCTATTTCATTTTTTCCAAGTTTTAATGGAATGAGGGCTTTAAATCTTCCATTGATAACAGGCCAAACAATTTGTTTTGAGGCAGAAGTCAGATTTTTGATACTTATTTTACTATCTTTTCCAGCAATGATTTCTCCAGAAATAAGGGGTAATGAAACATTTATCGATTCATTGTTTTGATAATTAGATATTCTTATAGCCATTGTTAAAAACAATAGCATAAATTTATTCTGAATAATTTTCTTTAAAATGTAACTATAAATCCATTTTATTGCTAAAATTTAATAATTTAGATCGAATCATTTTAAAAATAAAAGTGCTACAGAGTTTTCGTCAGTTTCGTTGATTTGTTTACGGAAATAAGAACCAGAAATCGTCTTTATGTCACTATTTCTGCTAATTTCAAGTTTTAATTTAGGCTCAGATATAGTTTTTTTTACTTAATAAGCTAGAAGCACCAATGAAGAGCACTATACCTTGCTTTCTGCTAAAGTGAAGTGAATGGAATAATTGTTTATTTAATTTTGTGAATTTAGCCGACGTTTGTTTACAACAATTTGCCATTTTGTCTGCTATTTATTGAATTATATGCGATTTATTTAATATCAGGTATTCTTAGACAATTTTATTGATCTCTCATATATTATAATATTGATATTTTAATGTATCGTATGTGATTCGAAATGTATTTATGTCTTGAAACATATGAAAGGAAATGAATTGAAGTTTTAAAATTAAAAAGGAAACAAATATTTGTCTAATAACATGAAAAAAACATTTCCCCTTTTTCTACACTAGATTTTAGTTTCTTAGTTAAATTTTTAGTTGTCAAAAATCACAATGAATGTGGGCAGGTTAACGTGCTGAACTAGCTCGCTTAGAAAGATTTCCATATCGGTATATGCGACAACCTAGCAATTATAAAATTTCCCGATACAAAAATATTCCCTTTTTTTTAAAGTTTGGTAAAAATATATTTTGAGGGTACCCCCTTGGCGAAATTGGCATTTTTTGTTTGGCGCCATTCCTGTTCGCGCGAAACACCGTGCAAACAGGAATGGCGACTAAAACAAAGAAATTTCAATAAAACATAAGAAAATTTCAATGAACCATCGGCCAAAACTTAATAAAATTTCAATTAGCATAATATAAGCAAAATTAATAAACCTAATAAAATGCATTTTGAATCTAAACAAAAATTAATGGAGTAAGCACAGGAAAAAAATCTACTAACTTTATATAGCTTAATTGGGTTTCCAAAAACAACAAAAAAAGAATATGGACGCTATAACTATAATAGCATTATCGTTTTCCTTACTACTATAACTATAAAATATCAAATTTTTCTCTTGACTTTGCAAAAAAAGCTAAAAACAGTAACATAACAGTAGGTAAATTAAGAGATATATTATAAGATATTTTATAGTTAAAGTGATAGACAAAGAGAATAAGAATAAAATGGTTGACACAAATTAAAAAGAAACTAATTAACTTCTGTTTTCTGATGCAATAACTAAGTCCAAGTTTATTTTGCTATACCCTGTAAAAGAGGTTACAGCAGTGAAAAGTACATTGAACGACAGTGACAAAATAGAAAAATTTCAACTAAACATAAAATCAAATTAAAAAGCTAAGTTATAGGTCACTGTGAATTATTGATGATGCTTAAAGTAACTTTACAGTAAATGCTTCTTATACCTAATCCTGATTATCATAGGACAACTTCAGCGTCTCCGAAAAAAATGCTTATTGCAGTGGATTCCCGCCCATGTGAACCTAGAATTCAATGAAATAGCTGATTCCTTGGCTAAAAATGCCAGAGATCTAAATCAAAATTCAATTCCAACCACGTTGGCAGATGCAAATGCTTTTGCAAAGTCAAAACTATTCACCCCTTTGAAAATCAAAGCCCACGATCAAATAACTAATCTTGACATCGATAGGAAGACAGCCACTACTCTCATCAGACTAAGAACAAAACATCATGAAAACATGAAAATTCTGCGGATGGGACTAGAAAATATCAAAACTGTGGCAACTATCTTAATGTGGAACTGACACCATATCATGTTTTTAACTGCCCTGCAGTCGCTGCAGGCCTTCACCTCTTAAACTAACCCACAGAAGAGGATTTGTATTCATTTAATGCCATAGAAATAACAAAAACTATTTAAGCACAACATGAAATGTTATTCAATAGAGGATACGACACCAACCAACCAACTTCTTATACAACTTTCAAATTGTCAGCATAGTGAAGTATAACTATATTCAGCTATGCTGACTATGTTAAATATATATAGTTAAGTACATTTCATTAAATTGTTCTAAATTTTTGATGTCCCGAATTTTCAATGTTGGGAAAGTGAACCGTGTCTCCCTTCAAGTTCATTAAATTAAGGTTTGATTCTAATATGAAAAATAGCTTGTTTCTTTTTTAAAGTAAAAGGGAAAACTTCTTCTTTACCATAATAAACTAGATTTGTTTAAATTTAAACTATTTTTATTATATTAATCACAAAACAATTTGGTCACTTTTGCTTCTTCCGTATCTTCCAGTTAGTTGAATTTCTTCATGTGTCTTCCAGTATCCTAGAAGAAATAAATTTCTTCTGAGAGCTATCTCAATCATGCTCAAATTCACTAAAAGATCATTTACATCAATTATCTACTCAGATGTTCATTCTTCCATGAACAAACTTTTTAGATCAGGCAACAGAACTTTCACCAAAAAATCTTTTTATAGGCTTCAGTACGCATTCTAAGTCATAATCGATGAAAACCGATAGGAGTTATTCACATTTTTTAAAGAATAACCATACCATTTTTAAATATATGTTTTGAAATCTAAGTGTATAATTTTTATCCTGTGCTATATGTCTCAATATAATGCTGGTTATGAGGCTGCACCAATTTCTCTTTGCAGGAGACAACATGGTTTCCAACGCGCTATTAAAAATTGTTATTATTTCATTTCATCTTTTTTCTTTTCATGACAAGTCACGTTTTGTGTATTTAAGAAAAAGAAAATTCCATCTTAAGCTGTTGTTTTTTTTTTTAAATTTTGCTTTGATGCCTTTTGTATTTAAAATTTTCCAGATAACAAATGGTTTTATGTGCATATTTATGATACAAATTACTATATGATATGGATCTTATTGAGCACCCAGTTTCAATACAGAGAATGATCCAATCACTCATTATATTAACCACACCCTTTATAATAATTTTGTTAACTATTTAAATATTATACAGTTAATTTAATTTATTTTTGTTTGTTTCCAGAAACTGAACAATGGATGCTGACCTCTATGATGAGTTTGGAAATTACATCGGACCCCAACTTGATACTGACTCAGAAGAGGAGGAAGAAAGTTATGAGAGACAAGAACCTGATGCTATTGACTATAATGAAGCATGTTTCCATTTACCTTTTTCGAAACATTTATATTTTTAATATTATAGTGCTTTTTATAGAATGAACTGATTACCCTAATTACCTTCTTTAATCATTTATACAAATTCTTTTAATGTATCAATATATTGCTCTTAAGTCTGATTTTAATTCAATAGTAATCTTTAAAGTATTAAAACTTGCTTTTCACCCATAAAAGTTGTAATTTAATTCTCCATATAATAAATATATATATATATATAAGTTAAGTCTATTTACATCAATGGGAGGAAAACTATAAATTTTTAATTTCAATTAATTTCTTACTATAAATTTAATCCTAAAGTGTATTTGCGTTTTTCTTCACTTAAATGTGTTTTATAAGTCTTATCATCTATTGATGAACAGAAAAGAAAATTAAACTATACTTAAAAGGAGGAAATGCCAAATTCAAACTAAGAAATTAGAGTAAGAGCTTAAGAAAATGTTTGTTAGTGAAAATATTTCTTTAAAAAACATAAATATTAGAAAATAAAAGAAATTTAAAGAATGTTTATTTTTTATTTATTTTTCTTCAACAAAAGGTTAGAAAGTCTTGCTATATTTTACTTAAAATGTGTGACTGTGTAACTGTTTTGATTTTCTCATAAATATTCCTCATTGCAATTAAAAAAATTTTTTTCAAGTCTCAAAATAGCACAAAATATATGTTTTTGTTAGGTTTTGTAAGCAAATTCTAGATTGTTCTAACACTATAATTGTGGCTTCTATCATATGTTTTAAAAGTTATTGAAACATTAATATAGTCTTCAAATTTTAAAAGCATTTTTTAAATTTTTCTGTTACACATAAATCTCAATTTTGCGTTAGATTTTTTTTCTTTTTTTTTTGCGCTTTAGCAAATTTAATATTTGTCTAAATTTTTTAATTCAGGATGAAGCAATGGAAGAAGGCCATGATGATGATGAAATCCCTCAGATGCAAATAGTTTTACATGAAGATAAAAAATATTATCCATCTGCGGCAGAAGTTTATGGTCCTGATGTAGAAACTATAGTACAAGAAGAAGATACTCAAGCTTTAACTGGTGTGTTAAATTATTTTTTTTTTATCAAAAATTATTTTTACTTTATTTGTGCATGATATTATATTATACGTTAATATATAAAGTCTTCTTTATACATTTTGTTTGCCTAATTTGGCATTTTTCTAAACTTGTTTGTCACTTCAAATTTGATAATGATTTATATTAAATGTTGGAAAAATGTTTTTATTTTATATAGCTTAAATAAAGTTGTTGTTTTTTTATAGAGCCTATCATTGCACCTGTGAAAAGAAAAAAGTTTTCTTATGTGGAGCAAGATTTACCTATCACAAAATACAATTTAGAGTAAGAAAATGTTTAAATAATTCAGTGAATATCAAAACTGTTTTAAGTATTCTTTTTTTAGTTACCTCATTTCCTGTTTTAATATAACAAAGAAACACATTATGTTGAACTGTTTAACGAATGTACTGTGAAATTCAGCAGCCTATGTTTCCATACATACATATTGAGTACCAGCCAGTGAGCTCACAGAATTCAACCATTTCTAGTTTTTGAGTCTTAAAATGTGTTGGTAAATTAAAAGTCCTGCTGACTATTAAATAAATCTGTGATTTGTTTTTTAATGCAATAGATATTAAAGCTGCTGAAATTCAAAAAAAAAAAAAAAAAATCAGATAAGTAAAGTGTTTAAAGAATACATTTGTAGAGAGAAAAAATGCTTAGTAAATTTGGTGATTACTACACTTATATGCAATATGAAGAACAAAATAGAGATTTCACATTTTGTCTTAACAAAAGACTTGCTACCTAACGTTAATAAAAAGGTTTGAATTTATCTGCTGTTTATGCAATGGTTTGGCACTGCTTCGTATGTTGTCTTATGCCAATTCCTTAATATTTGGGGGGTTTTTTACAAGAAAATATTTATCTTAAAAGTGTGAAAAGTAAGTTGTTTTTAATGAAGATTTATTAAAATTGTATTAATGACTAGATTTCCCATCACATGATGATTTGATACAATTTAAATTGTTTGATACTGTGTGATAAAAGAGAAAAAGATTTAGGCAAAAAATATATTGCTTGCCCTTATTTAGTTTTCCCCTTTCCTTCTAAATGCTTATAAAAGGAAATTCTTCACTTTCTGCATTTTATTAAAAACTGGCTTAAAAAATTTTTTTTCTCCAAGTATTATATAAATTTTATTTGCTAAGCTTTTTTGTTGACATTGTTCTTTAATGTTATTTTCTCTGCCTATTTTAAATAAAGCATATTTTGTTATTCAGATTTCTGGCTGATTTAATGGATAATACTGATCTTATTCGCAATGTTGCAGTAGTTGGTCATCTTCACCATGGAAAGGTTGTTTAAATTTTTCTTTCTTACATGTATTTTTATTGCTACATAAAGTCACAGATCATGCTTCCAGGACTTGAAGCAGATGGCACAGAGAAAATTATTATTTTTATTAATGAAACATTTAGTTAATCAAAAGCAAATGTTGTTTAGTTAGATTTTGCATTTACATTTTGGTCATCTGAAATATTGGAAGGAACTGTTGTTTATATTGTTGGTCACTAAATTCAGGTTTGCCAACTATCACAATTTTTGCAAAATATTTTATTGAGTAGTAGAATTTTTGGTTGGTAATTTTTCTAACACTTTAAAAGTCTTAGCACAAGAGAGTTCAAACAAAATGTTTCATATGAACTTTTGAATTATTTACATAATGTAATGGGGGAAATAGCTTTAAATCAAATGTACAAAACAATATTTCTTACATTAAAACATTAACTTAACCATTTTCTTTTCTTTCCATCATCAATGCTGAAAATAAAATGTCATACATTTACAATGGTTTTTGTTTCTATCACCAAGATATAGCATTAAGAAAAGTTTAAAAATTTACTGCTGAAGTCAAAAAAAAGGTTGGGTTTTTTTGTGAAAAAGTGGGATGTCATAGGTGATTAAATTTCAAATAAATAATTTATAAGGCAAATACAGTGGAAATTGTTCTCTTAATTATGTTTGTGAAAAGTGTTCCTTTGACTCGGTTGGACAAGGCATCTCTCACATTGCTTGTGTTAAACTGTCCACGTCATTTGACTGGGGTCATAATTATGTGGCGTTCTTACCGTGACCATTAAGGGACAAAGTCCTAAAAAATAAGTCTGGGTGCTTGACCATTGTTGAGTGTACGTGTGTGTGTGTTTTTTTCCCGATAACTAGACCTCTGAGCTCTTGGTGGTTAAATATAATTATTTGTATGTAGGTAAAATCTTAGCTTGTGACTACTCAAAAGATTTCCTTTTTTTTAGACAAGTGTAACATTCATTGTTGTTATAGCATTATTTAATTTACTTTAAGTAATTTTTTATTTAAGACTGCTTTTTTTATATAGAATTAACTTTTATTTCATTTACCGCAGACATCTTTTGTGGATTGCCTAATTGAACAAACTCATCCTGATCTAAGAGCTCGTGAAGGATCAAATGTAAGTGATGAATATTTTGTTAGAATTTTAAATTATTATGTAATGTATTTTAGTAATTTATAAGATCTTAATGGTATTGTATACTTTTTCAGTTGCGTTATACTGACACTTTGTATACGGAACAAGAGGTAAATCATTTTCATTTATTTTTTAAACCTTTGTTTGTTTAGCTGCATTGTTTTAATGATGTTATTTTTTTTTCTAACAGAGAGGTGTTAGTATAAAAGCCACTCCTGTAACATTTGTTCTACCAGATCTGAAAGGAAAATCTTACCTTATGAATGTTTTTGACACACCTGGTATATAAAGAATTTTTCTTGCTTTTATTTTCCTCATATTTATGTAAAAATTTATTAATCCATAAACTTTGTTATTTTGAAAAAAGAAAAAAAAACTTTTTTTTCTCCTTTCTTTAGCTGAAAACTATATTTAAATCATCTAAGAAATGTATTGTTGATCTTTTTTACTGGCTTATCTTCTACTCTTTAAGTATTTTTATTTTTTCCATTTTGTTTGTTTTACCTTGCTTTCATCATACATGCTTTTTATTTTGTTCTTATTTTGATATTTTAAAGGTTTTCATATAAATAGCCTTTAAAACTGATTTTTTTCCCCTTTCTTTTCTGTATTACTTAGCAGTAATGTAAGAATGTTGATTATCCAATACTCCCGGGACCATGTGTATGTCTAGAAATCAACATTTTTAAATAAATAATAATTTGAATAAATGTCCTAATATTCCTGACTTTTGTGTATTCTCAAAATAACACATTTTCTGCAAACACAATTTTGGATTTTAAATATCTGAATGGAAGAATCAAAAGATTTTAATTTTCAAGTTAACATCCTTTAATTTTAATTAATAATGTTAATGAAAATCATAAAAATTTGACGCTTCAAACTTACGACTTTCACTAAATACAAGTATATACATAATTCAGGCATATAGCCCTACTTGCAGGAATCCTTATTTCAAACTTTCCAGCTGTTCATTCATTTCATAGAAACACTACTCAATTAACAAGTATACATAATCAAATTTTTATCTCATCAATTCAATAGTCATATACTTATTTAATTATTTGTTATATTTAACAAATAATACCAAAGATTGAAGTTTTGTAGTTTTATAAATATTATTTTTCTTTTACATCTGTTTAAAAGGACTGATTCCAATATACAATATAGTAATCATAACATAGAATTTGAGGATCACCCACTGTATTATTTTAGTACAATGTTAACAGTTTAGTACAATGTCAATTTGTTTCCATTTCAAAATTATTGAAACCTTACTTTAAAATTGATTGATTAAAGAAGTTATGAACTCCTTATGATAACTATAAACTTATTATTATATAACTAATTAACTGCCTTAAATAACTGAAAATCTGACATGATGACTAAAAATATACTACATATATATATATTGTAGTTGTGTTTGCTTATCTTTGCTATTTCTATTTGTAATAATATGTATTAATTTTTTTTAATTATTGTTGTTATTTTAATTACATTGCTACTGAAATTTTTTTTCTGATGTTATATATCTCGCAAATGTTATTTTAGACTACTGTTTCGAAGTTTTTTAATTTTAATTACATTGCTATTGAAAAAATTTTTTCTGATGTTATATATCTCGCAAATGTCATTTTAAGCTACTGTTTCAAAGTTTTTTATCATATCCATACCTAAATTATTTTTATTTTAAACTTGTCAGTTTCTATGTCAGATAAAGTCTTGATATACCTACATATTTTTTCCTCCTTTAATTGAAATCCTTGTCTTGAAATCTTTTTGGTTATATATCTTGGTAATATAATTTTAACTTAATGTTTCCCCTTTCTTTGTAATAGTATATAACTTATATATATATAACTTATTTCTACTTAATGGTTGTTAATAAATGTTATGTGATATAAATTATTAATATTGTTTAATCATTTTTCAAGACTTATTAGACAAACTATTTCAAATTTATAATTAATTTTTTTTTTGGCAACTGGAGACCAAATGAATGGAAAAAAGGAATGAAACCAGCAGTTCATTATCTTTATAAAAATGTAGCTCTGTTGACAAATTCACATTACAGGAGCAAGCAATTTAGTTTGCCTTTTTTAATTTGTCCGTTTTAATATGGTATAACTACTACAAAAATTTTCTGATTTTTTTTCAAAAATATTGTCTTGGTATTTTCTTTGACCCTTTATTAAACCTGGTTAACATTGTCTATTAAAAAGATCTCTTTTAAAAAAAGGCCCTTATGACATTTCGTGTGGAAGACCTAAAGATTTCAGTTTCCTGCATTGTTTAAGTTTTATGTGCATTAAAATCTTTCAACAGCTCTAAATTTGTGATAGCTTTCATCTGTTCATTTACGCAAGCTTTTTAGGAATATTCCTCATATAACATTGTCATAACAGGGTATCGAAAATTGCATTGCCAAAGATAACTGTTTTTTTTTTTGTTTTTTTTTTCACTTAGGCATTTATTTATCAGCTTTATTTCCAGGTCATGTAAATTTTTCTGATGAAGTGACTGCTGCAATGAGGCTTAGTGATGGTGTTATAATTTTCGTAGATGCAGCAGAAGGTGTAAGTAATATATCTCTGCCTATTTTGAATTCAAAGTATCAGTATTCATCTATTATCTTTTGATGTATTTCTTAAATGTGTTTTAGGTGATGCTGAACACTGAGAGATTACTTAAGCATGCAGTTCAAGAAAAACTTGCAATTTGCATATGCATCAATAAAATAGATAGGCTCATGCTGGAATTAAAATTGCCTCCCCAAGATGCTTACTATAAATTGAGGCATATAGTTGAAGAAATTAATGGATTATTAAGGTTTAACATTTTCACTTTTACCAATTATTTGAATTTATATGTCTTGTTCTTTTTTTAAAGTAGTTGCAGTATTTTGTTTAGTTTTATCTTATTATAATTGTTTATGTTTAATTTTTTAAGAGAAATATAGATAATCATATATGTATCTTCAGATGATAATAATCATGTATGCAATCATTCATCTACTGCCAGTAGTGTTTTCAGAATTTCTTTAATCAATCTTTAGACTACAACTGTTTTCAAAAGAAAGATGGCTCTCTTACTGCACTGATATTGAACTAACATGTAACATGGAAACAAGATCTAAAAGCTTTAGATTCCAAAGATAGGCTTTCATTCCAGTATTATAAGTAGGCATTATCTTCAATCACTTTGTGCAAGAATCATCATTTGGTGCAGTGAGCAAATTATCCACAGTCTAGTTCTAGGTCACTGTACTGTAAATACTACATTGTAACTACAAAAGATTGAAATCAGAAAATTTTGTCAATCTAGGAAAATCAGTGATATTAATTAAAAAATATAAAACGTTAGGGAAAATGAATTAATTTGAATTTGATGTGCCTTTAAGTCTAATATTTTTTCCAAAAGATTTAGTTATGTATTTTTAAACAAAATTTTTTATTTTAAACTTTAATGGCAAGTATAAATATTTTATAATGTATTTTTTAAAACATAACTGAAACATTAATTATATAATTTGTGCAAACAATTACAAGTTCAGAAAATTCTAATTAAATCAGTCTGGGAATTTTTCTTTTATTCGTTTTAGTGGTCACCCAGTATTATTATTTTACTTATTGTTCATTGTCACATGTATACTCCTGTACCTTTGTTATTGTCTCATTTTTTTACATTTTTACTTGCAAATGGAGACATTAGTTTTTAAAAAGTTAATATGTAGTGCATTGAATTCTCTTTCTGATGGTATTTTAAATATTAGATTCAAATATTGATGTTTTCAACATATGTTATTAATTTCTAAATATCAATTATCCTGACACAGTTTAGTTTTTAGAATGTCAGTAAAATAATAGATTTGTAATATTATGAATGTATGGTTTAGGTTTTCTATCGTAGGGCATTTTATTTCTATTATATTTCTGTTTTATAATATTTAATTTTTTTTGTATATATATATGTAAAAGATAATATATTTTCCATTTTTTTCCCTTACAGCACTTATGCTGATGATAATGAGCCCATACAAGTTTCTCCCCTTCTTGGAAATGTTTGTTTTGCAAGTTCTCAATATAGTTTGTGTTTTACTCTGAGATCTTTTGCTCACATGTATGCACAAACCTATGGTGGAATTAGTGTTCCAGACTTTTCAAAACGTTTATGGGGTGATATATATTTTAATAGCAAAACGTAAGTATTTTTCCATGTTTAATTAAAATTTACTTTTTTATAAATATACTTTATCTTGGCTGAATTTGTTAATTTTATTCTGAATATCTGTGTTAGCTTTTAATTAAATGTTCTATTTTCATGTTTTCAAGCAGAAAAGGAAAAACATAATGCAACATATTTTAGACATAGTACAAATATATATATTTATTATTTTCCACTTTTGGCACTTTGAAGAGCTGATGCTGCATAATTTTTGAAATTCTAGTGAAATTAAAATGTTTTACTAAATTTTGTGTTCTTGGAAAAGTTGTTGTCCTGGTTCAGATATATAATCATCAATATAAGAAAGCACCCATTTCGGTGACCCAATAAAATTATATTTGTTAATGAATCCAAATTATTCATTTCATTAATAACTAATCATTAAGTATTTTGATATCACTTATTAGAAATACAGCATCAAATAATAATACATTTGATTGGATTAACTAAGAGGATTTGAAAGATGCCTCATTCTGAATAAAAATTTCTTTAAATTATAGAATGTATGTAAATTTTGATGAAAAACTCTAAAACAATATAAAATATTATTATACAGTACAACTTTAATTAATGTTGTTGTTACATAAGGCTTTATTGAAAATATTAATCCATATACAATGTTCAGCTTTAAGTGGACATAAACAAGGAGTAACTTTAATTAATGTAAATTAATTATAGCTTAATTATTAAATAATTACTTTAATTATTGTAAAAGAAGAGAATACACATAAGTTTTAGTGTTCTATTTAAATTGCATAATTATTTATTATGTAATACAATGTAGAAAAAAGAGATTCAGTTATCCTCTCTATTTTGTGTAAAATAAAATGATAAAAAGTTAATTTTCATTTATTTTTAACTACTAAATAAGAAACAAAAATGGACATAAATTTTAATTTTATATTTAGATTTATAATTACCTTAAATGTTATACAATAAATAAAAAAAAGAATAAAATAGAAATATAGTTTACTACTTATACTGTGAAAAAATTTTCAAACGAAGAACATATTGTGAATAACAATCAGCATGTTAAAAGTATTTTGTACTAGAGAATGAACTTTTTTTTAACTAATAAAAAATTTTTGTTTGTTTTTTTTGTGTGTGTAACTGACCTGAATTACTTTATCTTGATTAATTAGCAATCGATTGTGTGTGCGTGTGTATTTTTTTTCTCCCTATACTACAACCTAAATACATATTTGTATCTGAATCTTCTTTTTTTTTTTTTTTTACAGGCGTAAATTTACTAGGAAAGCACCTCACAGTACAGTACAAAGGAGCTTTGTAGAGTTCATTTTAGAACCTCTGTATAAATTATTTGCTCAGGTTTGTTTTTATAGCTTTTTTTATTTGTTTATAAAAGTTTTATTTTACGAAATTTTCACTTTGTAAGATATAATTAATTTTAATTAGTTTTATACAATATTGTTTATATTTGTGAAATCACCATTATGGATTTTTGCAGGTTGTTGGAGATGTTGATTCATCTTTACCACAATTGTTAGATGAACTTTCAATTAAACTAACTAAGTCTGAAATGAAGCTAAATGTTCGCCCACTGTTAAGACTTATCAATTCAAAGTTTGTCGGCGATTTCAATGGTAAGCTATTATAAAGAATGTGTTAAGTTATAACTTACATTGCTTTGGGCTTTTTGTGGGTGACTTAATCTAGACAATCAATATTGAATTGCACTCATCTCTCTTCATTAGAAGTTTGAGTAATATAAGTATATTTATAGAATAAATTCAGTTATGAAAATATGTGAAGCTTGTGGTTAATTAGTTATAACATGGTGTGGATGGTCTCTCACATCAAGGTCTGACATTTGTAAATGAGTTTTTAAAATTTTATTTTAATGTTAGAGAATTTTTATTTGAAGTATTTATTAATTTTTTCGGGTATTGAGTTATGAAACATTTTCATATTTATTTTTGCAATATTGTGCATATTGTCCAAGAGCTATTCATTTTTCAAAAGTTTGTTTCTTTTACTTTTCTAATTTTATAACTCTCGAGTTAATTTTTTGATCAAATATTAAAAATTTAGTATTGAGTTGAGGAGTTTACTGCATCAAGATCACATTACACGTATAACTTTTTTGAAAGACTGTGTCTGTGACTTCATTCGGATGATCTATTCCACCTGCCCTGGGAGGAAAATTGTCTTTTCAGTTACAAAGTATTACAATTAACCTAATTTATTTCATCACTGGGAAAACTTTTCCTAAATGTGTTATATTGAGATTTTTAAATACTGTTGAATCATTAATGATAGAGGATCGTAAAAATTGCATGTCTATCTTAAACAGAAAAATGGGCAGAAATCAAATACATTCTTTCATTTAGCAAGGTACGATGAAAAGATTTTATTTATTTTTATTCGGTGGTGTCATATAAAGAGCATAGTCTTCAAGTCATATATTTCAGCCATTAAAATTTTTTTGCAAGACAATTTTTAAAGAGAACAAATGTAATAATGAAATGATTATTTTTTTTTTCCAAAAAGGATTCAAGGGTTGGAGTGAGGTGGCATGAGAACTCTAACAACCCCCAGTCCTCATGTCTGCAAATTCAAATTCAATTTCAATGCAAATTCAGTGAATGTGTGCCGACATTTAGGAGCATGGAAAGATAGTCGAAAATTGTCTATTTATCGATAAATACTATAGCCAGAAATAAAACCAACACTGCATCACTAACATAAAGTTTTAAGTAATCTGGCTACAAATTACTTCAATTGCCAACTGTTGGATTTTAATATAATGCTGTAACCTAAATATTTTTGTCGTAAAAGTTTAAAGAAAATATAGTGAAAAAAATTTATTTTAATATTTGTTTTGTCATGGTATTGAATTAATAAGTTGAACACTTCTCCTTGATAAAAAGTTAGTTATTAAGAAAAGAATAAAAGTTCTTATATTTGTTTTTCATAAAATGGTATAGAAATTTATTTAATTTAGTTATAACAGGACTAAGAAAAATTTAAAAAATTTATGAAGCTATCAAAATTTAAAATCTAGAAAATATGTAATGCCTATAATGGCATCACAAATGCATAAGTCCCTTTTTTAATTTTAAATTAAAAACTGACAATTACTTTTCCTTTTTATGTACAATATCTTGTTTATTATATTAAACACTCATAAATGCATTAAAGGATGCATTTCCATTTTCAGTATTTAAATGTATTATTTATTTACATCACATTACTAATGAACAGAGTAAGTTCTTATTTTGCAAAATGAGAATTTAAACTTTTATTTTTTGTGAATGATTAATTTCATTATTTGCAATGTTTTATTAATTCTTTGACTGTAATTTTTTTTCTTTAATTTTCATTTATATCTATCTCGTTTTATATATATATTTTTTAATTTATAGGCTTTGTTGATATGTGTGTCCATCATGTCCCAGCTCCATCAGCAAGTGCTAAGAGAAAGATAGAGCATATTTACACTGGACCTTCTGGCACCGAATTAGCTGATGTTATGGCTGATTGTGACCCTGAGGTATGTGGAATGAGTTCCATAATGTAACCTTAACAATCTTGTAAAAGTAACTTAACTTACTGCCATAATATTAAAAATGCCTTAAATGCTGCTTACTGCCTTAAATACTGCCATAATGTTAAAAATGTTTACTCAACATTCTGAATGCAAGAAAAAATGATTATTTTCAAAAAAGTTTAAACCGTGTTAAGATAAACGAATTAATTTTTTAACATGGTATTCTAGTTTCAAGATTTCAGTAATTTGAAATTTTAGTTTTAATAGTTCTTAAAATCATTTAATTTTTGTTCTTAAGTTGATAAAAAATTAAATAAAGTCTTCTATATTTATCATGTACCTCTGTTTTAGTATTTCACCATTAAATGTCACTATCTGCTAAATATCCAGTATTTTAATCTAGGGTTGTATTAAAATTAAACAGTTTTAATTTATGTGTGTTTTCAAAACAAAGCAAAAAAATTCTCTATAATTTCAATTTGAGACAGATATGAATTAAAATGTACTTTAAAACCAGGCATCTAAAGAATGAAAAATTTAGAATGTTCTTACATAACTTTTTTTTTAAATATCTCTTAACAATCAGTAGTCATAGTTCTTATATAACTAAAACTATGAATTTTTTTTTTTAAAAGTTTATTTGGGAAGAAATGAATCTGTAATTGTGTGTGCTTATCTTTGTTATTTCTATTCGTAATAGTATTTATTAATTTTTTTAAATTATTGACATTTTAATTGCATTGCTCCTGGCAATTTTTTCACCACAAGGTTTTGTAATATGTCTAGCAAATGTTATTTTAAACTACTTTTTCAATTTTCTTTGTTATATCCATCTATAAATAACTTTTATTTTAAAATTATTAATTTTTTTGTCAAATAAATTCTTGATATACCTTCATAATTTTTCCTCCTTTATTTGAACTGCTTGCCTTAAGATCATTTTGGTTATATATCTACGAAATAAAATTTTAAATTAATGCTTCCCATTTCTTTGTAATGCTACTATATAACTTGTTTCTACTTAAGGGCTGCTAATAAAAGTTTTGTGGCATAAATTCCTGATATGGTTTTTTTATTTTTTAAATTCATAATTTTTCTTTGGCAAAAAACTTTTGCACAGACCTTAATGTTTAAGATTAACTGTGTTAAATTTAGAAATATATTTGAAAATAGTTTATTATTTTTGCTTCCTCAATTCAAGGCCAAATAATTTGAAAAATAAAACGGAATAAAAGTGTATATTTTGATTACTTTTTTGTAACCAAACGAAATGCTTACATAAGAAATCATTTCCAGTAAAAATCTATCATTAATTTTGGTTTTCAATATTTTTTATAGTTATTATTATGAGTTTCAAAAGTGATTAAATGGATTTTGAATCTAAAACTACATAATGTTTTTTTTTTTTTCTTCTTTCTTTTGCTGTNTTTTTTTTTTTTTTTTTTTTTTTTTTTTTTTTGGTAGTTGGATTGATTTTATTTGTATATATTTTTAATTGGCTCTAAATTTTTATTGTGTTTTTTATTTACTTTGTTATCATATACAAAATATGAGCTTCTTAAAATATATAAAACTAATAGTTGTTTTATGTATGTTTGTTTCCTAAAAATATTTAACAAATGATTTTCATGTCCCTATATTTTGCTCCCTACTCTTTCAATATATTTAATGTTCTTTATCATGTTATATCAAGGGTCCTCTAATGGTACATACTACAAAACAGTACTCTACGCAAGATGCCACTAGTTTCCATGTGTTTGGAAGGGTGTTTAGTGGAACTCTGCAAGCAAATCAGGATGTTCGCATACTGGGAGAAACTTATACTTCAACAGATGAAGAAGACTCAAGAATTTTGACCGTTGGCCGACTTTGGATATCTGAGGCTAGGTAAAATAAAATTCAGTCCTTGAAACTTCAATTGTATAATATTAAATCTTATTTTTAAATTTATACAAATCAAGCTGAATTTCCCCTTCTACAATTGTTTTATTTTACTATTTCTTAGAATTCCACAGATTAAATTCACAGAAATCAGACTTTTTTACCCTTCAAGTTATGGATCACTCACTGGAATTCATAAAAACGCTATTTGTGAATCACAAGTTTTTTTCTGTGGAGAAAATATTTGTGCAGNCCTGAGGTTAATTTTCCAAATTCACAATTTACATTGCTTACACATTATACTAAAAGTAAAAAATAGTTCAGGAAAATAATAGTTGCAAAATTCACAGAAACTACCAGTTCTAAGCGGCATGCCGAAAGCTTGGTTGCCAAAATGTCATTCCGTCACACAAGTAAAAAGTTCATAAAATTAAAAATAAAAAAAATACAAAATTCTTTTTTTTTAATTCATGAAGCACATTATACCAATAATAATGATATGCATGAGAAAATATCATGTTTATTTGAAATTAGATGCATAGAAACTTCAATTAATTGTCATCATGCAGGTCAAAATGTCATTCCGTCACATATGGAATTGCCCAAGACTAAATTTTAAAGGATTAAGGAGTGGCCTCAAATTTTCTAATTAATTAATGGTAACAAAATACATAATATGAACTAAATCTTCCTGAGAAATCGGGTTTTAAATGTACAACTTTTTTTGTATTTTGCTTAACAACTGCTTAATCAACTGAAAATTATTTCATTTCATTCCATTGTAAAAACATTTTACTCAACAGCAGTTTTAGGCAATTAGTTTATTTTAAATTTTTTTTCTTTCATAATTATTCCTCCCATGTCTACTCAGATTAATTGCTGATTAATTATTTTTTTTCTTTTTTCAAATGTTGATTTTAAGTCTTAGTATTGTTTTAAAATGCTTATCTCTAAGATTTGATTATAAACTCCAATTTCAATTTATTGTATGGTTAGGTTATTTTTGTCACTCATTATTGAAAAGTAATTTATTTTGAAATAAATTTTGTGTATTTTAGATACAAAATTGAAGTTAATAGAGTTCCTGCTGGAAATTGGGTTCTAATTGAAGGCATTGATCAACCTATTGTGAAAACTGCCACTATTGTCGATGTTAGTGAAGCAGCTGAACTTTTTATTTTTCGACCTCTGAAATTCAATACTAATTCTGTGATAAAAATTGCTGTTGAGCCTGTCAATCCATCTGAGCTGCCAAAAATGTTAGGTGGCTTAAGAAAAGTTAATAAATCATATCCTCTTCTGAGCACAAAGGTAATTCAAATTATTAATTTATTTTTTGCGATTTCTATCCCAGTAATTTTAGCAATCCTATCTTTAAAATACTTTCTATTTTTATATCATGTTTTTTTTTTTTTAACCATGTGTAATCTAACATTATTCTCATTATTATAAAGATTACCACTGCATTAATATTTTCAAATTTTTTTTAGTTATATTCATTACTTAATAACTTTTTTGTATTTTGTGAATTGCTGTTTTAGAATTTAATAACTCTAAAAGTGGTATTTACATACCTGCCAAGTCTCCTGAATACCTGTATATTCTCAAATTTCTCCGAATTTGTTGAAGAAATTTTTAAGGAAAAAGGTGATAAAATATCCACTGACGGATCACATGTTAGAGTCCCCTTGCCATCAGGCTAACTGTGGGAGATTTCCCTCTCCTTGTAACTCAAATGCTTGTTAGTTCCATCAAAAAAATCCTCCAAGAAGGCAAATTTCTCCCACTACTTGATCCAAGAGTTTTCTTGTCTTCTGAATTGGGTTCAAAATGACAAGACTACGAAGTTGAGCATTAGTAGTCGTAAACCCAAAATCGGGTCGGTTAGTAAAATCTCGGTTATTTTATTTCTCTAATGTAATTCATAGATATATATTTATGTATATTCTAATGGCTAGGCCCTACAAGAAAAGGCTATTTAAATGTCATTCTATTGAAGAATTGTAAATTTAACGTTAGTATTTTAAAAAAATTGTTCTAAGTAAAGGGAAAGAGTAAGCTGTAGAGCATCATGTACTTAGTACAAATCAAATACATCTGAACATCAATGTTAAAAAAATATTTAAAACATGCATTTGTTTGCTTATAATTTTCTACCCTGTTGGGTTAAAAAATTAGCTTCGAATAAAACTTAGAATAACACTGCTGCTACTTCCCAGAGTTGACCTTGACCTTTATCAGAATTTCAGCGCAAACCATCCTATTCTAGCCAAGTATTTCTAATTTATTACTTTTATAGCTTTAAAGTTGTTTTCTAAGCAGTTGTTTTGTAAGACCACTTAAGTCTTGGTCTTTCACTGCAATTGGCTTTCACATTAAATTAGCTATCACAATATACCCTTATTTTTTTATATTAAAATTTTCTTTTAATTCTTAAACTTTGATTAGGTTTACAAGTAGGTATCTTCGATGCCTATCTGTAACCTGTTCTTTTATGTTTTATTTTTCTTCTTACTCGAAATTATTTTTTTTGCTTGCTAAACATATTCAATGTATATATCAAAGTGTTTATTGTTATTGTGGAATAAGTAAGTTAGGAAAAAGAATGGTGAGTTATTTTTCCTCCAATTGTTTTTCATAAAAGATTTTTATGAATGTTATATTTACTTTCGTGATATGTTAACTTTTGTAATTTATAGTTATATTTTATTTGACGTAAACCATTTATTACAGATTGAGGAGTCAGGAGAACATATTATTCTTGGTACTGGTGAACTTTATTTAGATTGTGTTATGCACGATTTAAGGAAGATGTATTCAGAAATAGGTAATTGCGTTATGATATTTTTCTTTATTATGCATCAGATTTATTTTAAAGTAAATAACTTCATGTTCCTTTGAAGTAACTTATGTTTCGTTTTATTTCTTTCAGACATTAAAGTCGCTGATCCAGTTGTATCATTTTGTGAAACTGTCGTTGAAACATCATCATTAAAATGTTTTGCTGAAACTCCAAACAAAAAGTTAGAACTTCAGCTGATTTTTTAGTTATTATTTATTTTAATGAAATTTTTTATTGTTAAAAAATAAAGTTTTACTTAGTAAAATGCAAAAAAAAAATATTCTATTACTTCTGACATTGAATTAAAATGAAAAATCAGCAGTGCATGATGAATATTTAAATTAGTTTTTATGTATTCAAGTTATTGAAAATCGATATATTTGTTTACTAGAAATAAATTGACAATGATTGCTGAACCATTGGAAAAAGGCTTAGCTGAAGATATCGAAAATGAAGTTGTACAAATTAACTGGAATCGTAAAAGATTAGGAGAATTTTTCCAGACTAAGTATGATTGGGATTTGCTAGCAGCTCGTTCCATTTGGGCTTTTGGACCCGATACAACAGGACCCAATATTTTAGTAGATGATACATTGCCTTCTGAGGTATGTCAACTATTATATTTGTTATAATTGATTACTTCTTTTATTATTTATGACGTTTAAATAAATCAGTTAATTTATCATTCAAACAAAAAATTTAACATTTTGTAAGTGAAATTTTCATTATCAAAACTACTTTTAATCCATATTTTTGCCACATATGTAATTAATTTCCTTTAATTTGATCAAAAGCAGCTTTCTGCTAGATTAAAAAAAAATTTCTTAATTTTAATATTAAATTTAACAATTTTTAAAGCAAAACCTCAATTATATGTCATTTTATGAAAGATAGTTGAAGGAATTTTTTTTAATATGTGGAATTTTATTAATAATGCAATACTTATATAATAGTTTATTATCTTATAATCAAGTAATCAAGAAACTATAAAGGCGTAATTAAAAAAATATAAAATTATGTATGTTATTGGAAAATACAATGCAAAATATAATAATTATTAATTAATAGGTAGATAAAGGTTTATTGAGCATGGTTAAAGATTCAATTGTACAAGGGTTTCAGTGGGCTACTAGAGAAGGTCCTCTCTGTGAAGAGCGTAAGTAGTGCTCCTCTTTTGATATTTTTTTTTTATATATATGTATTTTGTACATTTAGTGTATTTATTGTTTTGCAACAAAAATACTATAATTTTTTGAAATCTGCAGCATTTTCTTTCCTTTTACCCCGCAGTAATATCCAAATAACAAATTTTCAATAAAATACTATGTTGAAAATTCATAAAATAGTCTATAAAGTTACTTTAAAAAATTCTACCTGCAATCTTTGTGCACATATCAATCTTAGTTGAAGATATGTAAATTTTTGAAATCTTTTTAAAAAAAATTAATAGTTTATATTTAGATAACTGATTTTGCCTTGATTTTTAGTCAATGTTTCAAAGTAGGTATGATATATTAAGATTATTAAAAAAAAACTCTATATTAATGAATTATATAGACCATCTAAGTATGCATTATTCTAATGATTTATTATTAATAGGGTATAAAAGATAATTTTGCAATATTATTCTTGTCAGTTTCTTGATAATTAAGAAGTTGTAAACTTGGTTATAGCTAACATCAATTAATTTTACTTGTTATTTATATTGACTTTTGCTGTTATGACCATTTTATTTAATTTATATTTATTTAGATTATTTTCACACGTTTAATTAGATTTTTTTAAATGTGATTAGTTTTTGGATTTTTTAATTTGAAAAGCATATTATTATTTGATTACAATAAATGATTCTTGACATGACCAGTAAGTTAGGAAAAAAAATATGCAAATCAACAAAACGGAGAGTTAAAGAGCATTTAAACTATAATAGCTAAGAATCACTTCATATAATCTGAAGCATTTACATTTATAAATTATATTCTCAAGACTATTATTTTAAGTAGTAATTATTTCACTTTTGAATTAATTCCTTTTCTGATTTGAAAATCAGTTTTTTTTTTTTTTTTTTTTTTTTTTTTTTTTTTTTTTTTTTTTTTTCATTAATGAAATGAAAAGATCATGTGTAAAAGAAAAAGAAGTTCCTTACAATTTTCATATGATCTTTTGTGCTGGAAGGGTTAAGTATTATTATATACATAGTAGAGTTCTGATAATGTGGGGTGACGAAGAGTTTTTTCTTTCTTTTTTCTAAACCAATCGCTTTATGGATGGCGCTGCTACTATAACAGGGATGAGATTAGCCAAAACGCAAAAAAGCTGAATTTCCACGATATTAAATTTTACGCAAGCGCAACCCTTTAATAATAAATTCCAGACAGTTTAAGGTAATAAATAATGTATTAACATACNAGCAAAAACACTAGTTGACAAGAATTAATAATCAGCAAAAAAACTAGCTATAGAAAACAAGCGAACAATTAATAACTAGCAAAAAACATAAATAACTGTTATTAACTAATAAAAAATTAGTCGAAAGAAATAATTAATCCCTTAATAAATGTGCTTTTGTAGTACTTTATTTCACATTCAAAATTATTATCACAAACTATTTAACACAGTGTATTATAGTTAAGTAAATAACTTTTAAACTAATTTTTTTCATTGTGTGCCGTCAAATTTCGAAATCGTTAAAAGTGTGCCGCCACAAAAAAAAAGGTTGAGAATCACTGGGTTAAGTATTATTATATACATAGTAGAGTTCTGATAATCTGGGGTGAAGAAGAGTTTTTTCTTTCTTTTTTCTAAAGCACCAATCGCTTTATGAATGGCGCTGCTACTATAAGAACATTTCCGTTTTCAATCAATATATTTTTGTAGTAGGGAAATCTATTAAATCCAAATTTTTGGCTATCAGATTTTTTTTTAGTTTTGAATACTGCCCGCGCTCGATGTAACAGCCCTCATAGTCCAAGCAAAAATGAACTTTATAAAGTGAGTGCACAAAAATAACTGCAAACACTCAAAGTTAATAAATTCTTGAGCAATTTTTACAAAGCAATGCTTTACTTTAATAAAAATTTGGTAATTACGCAACTTTTTTTTAATTAATGTATTGGTAGGAGTGACCCCTTAACGGACATTAAAACAACATTCTAGAATAAGAAACAGGACACAGTGCATTGGTCCTAGTAATCTGGCATAAGATTGCTCCCACTATGAGCAGAATTTCCTACTTTTTTAATTATAAATGGAAGAAAATGATATGTTACATGTACTTTTTCTTAATATTTCTACATTATGTTTTTTTTCACTTTATTCTTTATTATTATTTTATTCTCTTTAATCATGATTCATTCACAGTTCGTTAAACTGTCAATGTATGCAGATAGTGAGGAGTAAAACATTAAATGAGTATGTAAATAATTTTAATGATTTCTTTCTATGTAAAACAACTTTACACGCTTTTTGAGTAGACAGGTTTTTCAGAATTTTTGTTTACTTCCCACTTACTTGTCTATGTATAATGGAGTAATGAGGAGTTGTACTATAGAGCGTAGACTGCATTTTGTACTTTACTATTGTTTGAAATAGTTATAAATCTAGTTTATTTAAAATGGTTATAAATAACGTAGCTCAGTTAAAATTATTTAGTATTTATCTGAGTACTTAAGAAATCTTTTCTTTCCAGCCATTCGAAATGTGAAGTTTAAAATTTTGGATGCAGTAATTGCTGGAGAACCTATTCATCGTGGTGGAGGCCAAATAATTCCAACTGCCAGAAGAGTAGCTTATTCTGCTTTTCTTATGGCAACTCCTCGACTAATGGAACCGTATTACTTTGTTGAAGTACAAGCTCCAGCTGATTGTGTATCAGCTGTGTACACAGTGTTGGCCCGTCGCAGGTTAGTTATAACTGCTTTTCTGTAAAGTGTGCAAAAAGTTTAGTATTTTGAATTAATTATCCAAATATTTTATTCAAAAAAATTTATTTTCTTCGTGTATTTCTACATATCTTTTATAGTTCACAGTAAGTTTACTGTGAATTACAAAAGTAAAACATTGTAACTTGTAAAATTTTTAATCTGTATTTTTAAAGTGATGGAAAGTAACAAATCTGGATCTTTTTTAATGAAGTGTAATTAAATACTCATTTTCTTATTTTTCATAGAACCCTTACCTATAGTTAAAATTCAGATAGCTGTTGCTCATTTAAATTTTGCAACAAAATGGAAAAAAATTTATGATCAATTTCTATAATATGAGGTAGCATCTGAATCTTATGTTTATTAAGTAGGAAAGTTAATGTTAGTAAACCCAGCATAATACCATGTGCACTGAAAAATTAATTTTAAAGCATCAATTCTAACTTAGTACGGCAATATCATTAGCTTTTTTGGATAATTTTTCAAAAAATTTAACTGTGATTTGATACAGTTTTTTTTTCCACAATACATTTGTGTGACATGAAATATTTTAGAATTCGTGGCATGGTACGATAAATAACTAAAATATAAAAACTATAGTTTATTTGTTAGCATGTCCTAATAATAATATTTTTGAATAATCTTCTGCTTGAAATGCTTTGTAAAAAAATTTCTAAGTCTTAATTTAGAAAGATAAACATGTTAGATATGTTTTTATACATAAGTAACCAAAAACTTTATTCAAACTGCAATATATCTCAAATTAAAATATTTTTTTTATTATTTAATTTAACAGGGGACATGTAACTCAAGATGCACCAGTTCCTGGATCTCCATTATATACTATTAAAGCATTTATTCCGGCTATTGACTCCTTTGGTTTTGAGACTGATTTGAGAACTCATACTCAAGGTCAAGCTTTCTGTTTATCAGTGTTTCATCACTGGCAGGTATGTCTTTTTGATACTACATAGTTACCAACTTTATGCTTTTTTTTGGAAATGTTTTCCCAGTGGTGGAGAAAAAAAAATTTTTTGCAGTACTTTCAAAACATTACTTCATGATAATAAAATAATGTTTATGTTTGAACCATTTTAAACACCATTCATTAAATTAAGAATTAGATATTGAAGCATCAGTTTTGCTGCAACTATGAAAGTTGACTGCTACAATGTGCCCGGAAAAGAAAATTTACTAAATTTATATATGGAAACTAAATTTCCTTCCACTGCAACTTCTTTTTTTAAAAAAATGTGTGCCAAAACAGTCAGCAAATTTTGAAAAGCCATGATCAAAAGCATTGTGATTAAAAAAAAATTGTACTATAAATTATAATTGCCAAAAGTTTATTTGCTTATTTTTTTAATAATTTTAAAAAATGTCCTCACAGTCATAAGCCACCTGTTAAAGTCAATATGCACATTTTCTGGTAAAAACTTTATGTATTAATGCTAAGAACTTAAAACATACTGTTGGTTAAATATTAAAGAAAGAAAAAACTCATTTCAAGTACTACTACTAATAATAAAAAAATAGAAATAGTGCCATTTCTAAAAGTTGTCATTAGGATTTTTCAAAATCTTTGTATTTTATAATATAAAATTTCTCATGGCCATAGCATTGAGGAAAAAGTCTGTTTCCATAAGATTTAATCGTTTCTAATGTTGACCATAAACCCACATAATTTGGTTGATAAGGAAAGTATTAATAGTTTTAGTTAATATAGTATTAATAGTTTTCACTAGAATATTACAAGTTGCCTTCATGGTTTCACTTAATACAGATTCTCACTGTATCAATAGTCATAAAGAAGCAATTTTATTAGCATTATGTTTCCTTAAGTATTTTATCAGAATCTGAATGTTAGAGTGTAATCCAATACACTTAATTTCTAATCAGTTTAAACCTAATACTGTACAATATAAAGTTAATTTGTTTTCTATATTAAAAAAAAAAATATTCTCAACAAAATTAGACTTCCTATATCTGGTTAAAACATTATTGCATTCATTAAAAAAATGAGAATGAGATAAAGCATATCAGATTAATATTTTTTCATAATTCAATAGTTAAGCGAAGTTGCTAGATCACTTTATAATCAAATTGTGATGAATTGTAGTAATTTCACTCACCTAATTCAATATTATGCTAGTTTCTTAAGATACTGATTTTTTTCAATTCAAGAAAATACCAAAAATATACTCTAACTATTTTGTTCAATATAAATTTTAAGATTTACTTTTAACACTGTTTTCACAAGCAAAAAGCCATACATCTTTAAACCAAACTCTTATAATGTTAGAAGCACAAAAATTGTCCTAAAAGAGATGCTATATCAAGCACAATATTTCAGATACTATCAATGCTTAAATGCATAAAACAAGCAGCAATATGTTTGAACCTTAAGTACCATATTTGTTTGTTTCACACATTTAAGGTGCGATAGTACCTGAAATGTTGTGCTTAATCTAGAAATGCATAACATTTCTATCTTGTGTATTTGAAAAAAAAATTGCATTGATAAACTGTTCAAAATAAGTAGTTAAAACCTATATAACCTAATTAATATTACTTGAAATAATCTTTCATTTTTTTTTCTAAGATTGTTCCTGGTGATCCCCTAGATAAAAGTATAGTTATTAGACCTTTAGAACCACAGCCTGCTCCACATTTAGCCAGAGAGTTCATGATTAAAACTAGGAGGAGGAAGGTTAGTGTATTTTACTTTTTAATCAATCTATTAATATAAATCTTTTGTTATATAACTGATTTATTGCAGGGTCTCAGTGAAGATGTCAGCATCAACAAATTCTTCGACGATCCTATGTTGTTGGAACTTGCTCGTCAAGACGTTATGTTAAATTATCCTTTGTAATTATTCATTCACATAAAGGATCTTGTAAATAATCTCACTTTGATTCATAATAAAGTTTTTATTAAATAAACATTTCAAATTCATTATTCCATAAATTGATATTACATATATTATATAAAAAATCTATGTTATAAACAAACAATTTACAAAAATGGTGAATGATAAAGTATTGGTGGAGAAGGACAATGAAGTGGAAGAGTATTATAGTTGGTCCTTCCTTCAAGTAATTTAGCTGTTAGGTTGCCAAAGTTGAGAGCTAAGCCAAGGATTTGCCTGTAAGAAAGTACCGATAAATATTTAAAATTTGGAGATCTTTCAAAAACTAACATTTAAAAAAATACATAGCTGGAAATTGTAAATATCTGACATTAGAAATATAGCGAAATGCCAACTAAATTATTCTTCAAAAGAAGTTCTAAAAATGAATTTATTTTAGGATGTGATTCATCATAGAAGGCTTCTAGTTAACATTGCATATATACTACCATTTTTAAAAGCAGGTAAAGATTCACCTTGAGAATTTGGGTGCAAATAATAGCAATGAGAAAGGCCCCACTCAGGCTTTTATCAATATTAACTCGTAACAACAGAATTATCCAAAAAAAACATTTAGTAAATATACAAAATTTGAAAGCAAACAAAGAGAAATACATCAACAAAAAATAATACATTATAATCTGTAATAGCATATCTTGATTCGATTTTGTAAAAATGTATTTTTGTGTCAATAAATGTTCTAATATCAGCCATTTAAGGATCAAGCCAAAACAATGTCTTGGTTTGTACAATCCTAATGGTAGTTTTTAAGATTGATTTTTTTTCTTCGAAAAATATAGTGATAGAAAAGATATTTAATAATAATTTTTATACTTAATCTGACCTATGTATATTTCAAACTAACTCTGGTGGTAAAGTGAGCTCAATTTCAGCTATAGTTGGTACTCAAGATATTGCTATCGAATCACAAAATTTTTTACAGTAATTGCAATTTCAGGGTTGCTACAGACCACTAGAATGCAACTATTTTTGCCTGAAAAGACTAAGAAAAGCAACTATTTTCAGGAAAAGGAGACTTTTCTGTGCTCCTAGCAATGTTTTTTTGTTTTTTAAAGCATAAATTGGGTGGAAAATCTGCACCCCACAAGATAGTTTCTGAACACGCTAAACTTTTTTTTTCTTAAAAAATAAAAAGTTTTGAATTGCAAATTTGAATCTTCACTTTTTAATTCGTTCAATCTGCACAGACTCCATTGAAAGTCTATTTCATTTCTCGATTGCCTTTTCAATGATTATTGCTACAAAATTCCGCAACTATTTTGTTAATTTTTTTTCTGTGGCAACCCTGCAATTTCAGTAAAAGACTAATATAAAACATTTCCATTAACTATGATATATTCCATATGTTTGAATTAATGTTTTGACAAATGTAGGCTAAGATTTTTCATAATTATTAATGCTATTAAAAACATTCTATACCAAAATTTTCAGTGCCACAATGTTACAAAATATAAGTATAGTTTAACTTTTCTTTATACTTCGCAATAAGGTCTCTCATATTAATGCCATTTTCAGTCTTGTCATCTTGAGCTTAGAAAATTAAAATAGATCAATAACAGATCAGAAATTCAAATGGTGATATGAATAGTCTATTCTGCATATAAATTTTTCATTATGAAAAAAGTTTATCACATACAAAAACAAAAAGCAGTTTTTAATATGCAAGACTGTCAAAGTGTTAATCAATAATAGTTTAGTACATTCTAAAGAAGAATGCACTACAAGAAATTTATCAAAATTAAACCTTTTATAAGTATCATTAATAAGTAACTGCTATGGTTCAAAGAAATCTACTGTTAATAATATATAACTGCTATAGTAAATTGTTTACTGGTTTAGTCAATCTCAAATGAGTCATGCACTTAAACATTTTGTTAGTATCATTAATATCACAAAAAGACCTAAGCACAGTAAAGTAAATGCATTAGTAAGAGGCTAATGAATTAAAAAATAATGCAGAAAAAAAACTTAAGGAAAATTAACTGATCTGAAATAAATTCAAATCTCCTTCAATTGTAATCAGATATATCAAATCACTGTTTCAGTACCAGGTTGAAGAAGTATTAGTTGTACAACGACATTCTACCAAAGACACTTTTTCCACACTGTGACATATATGTCCAAAGTTATATATTTTTCTAATTGATTTGGTATTTCACTCACAATGACTTTAGAGCAGTTTGTATCACCTTAAATATTAATGAAACATCTAAAACTAATAATTAGAGAAGCAAAAAAAAAAGCTAAATATACCATTAATCTTGGTTAGAAACAGTAGAAGGCACTTCATGCAGCAACACCTATTTCTAATGTTAAAAACAAAATACACTTAGTTTCAAATATTGCTTCTAATAAGTATTTTAGTAATACATGATGATAACTACTTTTAAAGCCATTAAACAATTCTAGTTAAAAAGTAAACATGTAAACAAATTTCTAATTATTAACTACATTTCATAAGCAAATTTTAGGTGCATAATGTATTTCTAGACATGTCTCGAAATACATTATGCACATTAAAAAAAGATCATTTAAATTTTAACTAAAGCAAAATATGCAATATAGCTATTGATAATTAAAATTTACTAATTACTACTACATTAATTGGAATTTTATAATTTAACATAATATACCAACATAAACTTTAAAAGCATAAATATTACTTTAAAAATTCTATTAAAATATTTTAAATTCTGTTGTCAGTCTTAAACAATATCAAAAATAAATTATAGGCTTCATTCCAATCAGTTTAAAATGAATAATTAAAGAAATTTAACAGCTAGATTTAATGTAAAAATCCGTTAACCAGTTGTTTACAGCTAGTGCAACAGGAAAATCAGAATAAAAAGCTTTAGCAAACAAAGCAATATAAGTAAAGAGTTAATAAATTTCAGTTTCAGCCCAGAATTGTTTAAAATCAAAAATGCTAGAAATGAAACTGTCAATTTAAATGGACCAAACTTCTTAATTAATAAATGTATAACTGATTTAATAAACAGAATTAGAGTTTTGAGACTATAATGTTTGACAAATGCTTTACTTCAAACTTATATTAATCTACTGGCAGAATTTTACAAAAAATACTGATTAAAATATATATATTTTAAAATAAGAGTATGATATGGTTTTAGTATATTTATTTTAGCACTAGAGAAAGCTAAATGTGTACCATTTTAATTTTATTTCTTAACATGTTGAATATCAGAATACTTACATCAATCAGATTGAAATTTTTCGCAATCATATTTTTGGGAATAACTTTTTGAGGAAATTTTTATTATAACTTTTTATAATATAAAAAAGGGTTAAATATGTAAAAGCATATATATGTGAGGCTTAGGGCAATACATAATAAATCACATATTTTGCAAAGGTGACATTCTACATCCAGGTTTTTCTTAATATTGTTTCTAAATGGGTAATTCAAAATTTTCTCTAGGTTATAAACACAAAAGCATTTTATTTTTTATAATAGAATTTGTGTAATTTTTCATGAAAAATGCTGTCTTGAGTAAATTGAAAAAAAGGCATGTCATTATAATGTCTGAAGCCCAATGTATTAGTGAGGAAAAAAATTCCTTGTACGGTACTGAAATACAAGAAGGGAAAAATTAAACAACAGTATACATTACCTTCTGGCTCTAAAGAGAAGAGAAAAGAAAATTGGTAAAATTACATTTCAACTTTTACAATTAATAAATTTATATATAAAATACAGTATTAATAAATTCAGTTCGTAAAAAAAAAAATTATTTCAAGCATTTTAGATTATAATGTAACTATAAATTTCTAATATTACCATTTGGTGCCTGGATTCTTCTTTACGAATAACCTGTTGAGTTTGTGTTTCATTGAATCGAAGAACAGCAGCTATTACTTTTACTAAAGTCTGAAAAGATTTAAACCCATAAGAAATTTTGCTAGTTACTGTAAACAGTTGTTTATTTTACAGTTAAAACATTAGCTAATCTATACAGTTACAAAAGAAATTTAATATTTATTTCTATTCATTTATTATAAGTCAAAAACATTTATTATTTTCAATAGTTTATAAAATTTATGTTTAAAAATAAAATGAAAAAAAAAAAGGAAAGACTTACAATTGGTTCTTTACCCATCATATATTCATAAATAATATTCTTCAAGTACTAAAATATAAAAAGGATATTTAAAGCAGGTTAAAAATAATAGAGAATTTTTAACAATAACGAGTAATGTTTTTAACTTAATATATGCTACAGTTGCTCTAGCTTTAAAATTTAAAAAAAATAGATATCTTAAAAAATAATTAACAATTCATAATTCAACTTTCCTAGAACTTAATGTTTACATTTAAGAATTACTAATGAGAGTATATAATTTATCACACATCTTTCATCTATTTCACATGATCTTTCAGTTTCAAGTTCAAGTTTATGTGTATTGTTTTACACTTCAATTTTTGATAAAAATAAATTTATTGAGGTTTTGGTTTTAAATAAGTAGTTTTTAACTTCATAGCATTCTATTCAATGAAATATTTCAGTAAAATTTTTCAATGAATTTTATTACTTAATTACAACATTTAGTAATTTAACTCACCAACAATTTTCTATGCAAGCATTATGATAAAACTTATTAATGATTTAGATATTTTGACATTATTTTTATGAATATATTATATAAAATATTAAGAGTACTTTAATTCATTTATTATTAAAGAATAGATTATTGCATTTAATCATTATATCCAGGCATTAAAGTGGTCGAAAATAAAAAAAACTGAACTTTTACAACGCAGGAGGGGGGGGAGTGTTCCATATAATACTGTGATATCCAGGAGATATATATAAAAGCAACTTTCATTTTTATTTAGTATTTAAAGTGACAGAATCAATTAGACAGTGAAATTAGAAAAAAATTTAATATAATTTTGATCACTACTATATTAAAGAAAATTAAGCAATTATAGGAAGTTGCAGCTTAATTATCATTTAAAATTAATTACCGTAGCGTGAATATGAATCGCGATATTGAATTTTAAAATCGCGTGAATATGAATCGATATGTGGGATTTTAAAATCGCGTGAATAAGAATCGCGATGTTGAATTTTAAGATTGCGTGAATATGAATCGCAATGTTGGATGTTAAAATCGCGTGAATAAGAACTGCGATATGAAATTTTTAAATCGCGTAAATAAGAATCACGATGCATAACTTTTAGATCCCGTCAATACTTATCGTAACGAGTAATTTTTAAATCGCGTATAAATACGAAAATCGATGTTAGATATTACAGCCGCGTGATTACGAATTGCGACATTGGATTTTTAACTCGCGGGAATACGAATCGCGATATTGAGTTTTAAAAACGTTTAAATACAAATCGCGATATTGGATTTTTAAATTGTGTGAATGGGAATTGCGAGTACGATTTTTAAATCGCATAAAAACGAATCGCAACAACTAACTTTCAAATCACTTAAATATGAAAATCGATGATTTGCATAAAAATAGTCTGAATAAGAATCGCAATTTTAGCAGGTTCCGACGCTCGGAGCTGTTCCTAATATTTAAAATTCTGAAAATCAGCCAAACAAAAGAAATTAAATATCAGCGGCCGAAAACGAAATAGTTTAGAACTCTTTTTTTTCCCAATCTATAGCGGAAGTCGCGGTTGTCAGGAGGCTACAGCAAGGTCGAAAGGAAAGTTCGTCTCAAGTTTGACTGTCGTTTGGGCTGCTTGAGTTCTCGACTCCCCAAAAATTAAAGTTTAACGAACATGGTCGGAAATTTTAAAAATTGGGAGAAAAAAGCGGATTTCCGTTTCTTTGCGGAAGTCTTTCATCCCTGTATATCACAAAGAAAAGATTATTGCATTTAATAAATAAAAAAATTGTTTGAAGCATCACAAAGTAATATTTCAATTTATAAAACTATTTTATGTCTACTTATTTAAAGCATTGAGCCATTTATTATTGCATAATATAAATTTAGTGAACTGGTGCATACAAAGATTTCAAGTAAAACCAAGTTGGATACAAAAATTCTTTCTCTTCGGGAAAAAAAATCAGGAGATAGTGAAACAGCAGGAGTATTTTTTAAGCTTGGTCATGACACATTTTAATAATTGTTTAAAATGAATAATTCAATATAATTTGTTACAAATTAATCAGGTATAGTTAAGAGTTTGTTGCTGTCAAACATATATGTAAAAACATAAATAATTTGAAATTGTAATTAAAACTCCAAAGATCAGGAAATATGATTGGATAAGTACTTTTATTTCAGTCTTAAGAATAATAAATAAATAAAATTGATATGCCAAAAAACATTTACTTAACTCAAATCTAAGAGAAATTTTAGATTACTTGAATTATTCAGGTTTTTAGTTTCTAAACATTAAATACATGTAATGTGTTCTTTACATTTCAGTTGCATGTGAATAATTTAAACCTTAACAATATTTTTGTATATTTTATATACTTGTTACGAATTCTATTTGCTATCACTATTTTTATTATTTTTTAATATAGTACAGTTTTTAGGCCAACCTTAGAAAAAATTTGCAACTGAAATGCAAAGTTTGTGGCATGATTTTAAAAAGGAAAATCATTAAAAGCAGTTAATGTCATAAAAGTAAAAGTTTTAGGAGACAAATTTATAAAATAAATTGAATCCTTAAATTATCAATACAATTTAACCCACTTTTTCACCAATTTAAGACTATTTTACACTTTCATTTTAAAAACATTCAATGCATAAATGCTAAGTGTGGGACACTGTTTTTAAAAAGATTACTAGTAAAGCTACTTATGTCAAGTAATTTGTGAAGTAATATTTTTAAGTGTCCATTTTCTCATTACAATATCAGTCACTTATCTTGAACATAAAAATGATTTTTTACTTTCAATTTTATAATTCAAAAATAAGTAATTTAAACAAAATGGTTCTTAATTTAATATTACCTCAAATTCTGTAGGCTCTGGAATTGATTGTAGTGAATCACGGCGGTTATTGTTCAACATTGAATCTGGAGGACTAAGGCGTAAAAGAACTTTTAATTCTTTAATTTCAGAGCTGCAAATATAGTTAGAAAGAATTTAAGAAATAATGTAAATATTCTTTGAACATTATAAAACAATATTAACAAACATTAAATTAAAAAGTTATGTGAAATATAAAGGCTAAGATGTTAGGAAGCTTTCTTTTAAGAAAACTGCAATACTTAAATATTTTATGCTACTTTTAGTGACAACAAATTATGAGCTCTCAGTTGAAACTAGGAATAACACCTGGAAAAATGAGTCTTCAAGTAAAAAAAAAAGCATCTTATTGGCTGTCAAATCCAAAAAACTGTGAATTACAAAAAAATGGTATACCAAAGTTTTATAGACAAAATAAATTTAAGGAAAGGTTGTTCTTGTACAAGTAATAATTTTTAAGAAAATAGGTCACATTTTTTAAACCTCATTAGCAAATAGAGGAATAGCAAAATAAGTTGAACAATGAGCTAAAATAATACCTGTGTAAAGCAAAAGTTTTCTTAGTTTTTTTTTAAAAAAATGGCTAATTATGATCATTAATTTAAGAATTTTTATTTTCAGGAAAAATATATATTCAGAAACAAATTTTCAACTTTTTTCTAAGACTTACTGGCACTTAGATAAATCTTCTTTCAGAGTCTCTATTTCATTCAAGTGATCTTCACAATTTCTGTGATTAGGACTGGTAGCAGGCTCAAGTGTCTGTAAAAAGAGTGATATAAATACAAAATAATCTATTTTCGAAAGATAACTGCTTCAAAAAAATTTTTTACATAAAATATTTGCATTGCATAGTTTATCAAGAAACTTAAGGTAAAGTGAACTTTATGTTATGTAACTTTCTTATAAAGCTAACTTTATGTAAAGTATTTTTCCTTCTACTACAATAATTCCACAAACTGAACTGATTTGCAAAGCCTGGAGTAAAAATATAAAAAAATGGCATTATTGGAGTGAAAAAAGTATCAGCAAAATTTTCTCAATATATTGAGTGCTGAGTACATTTTTTGTTGAACTACAATAACTGCATTAATAAATAAGAAAAACAAAATGTAATAATGATCATTTTACAAATAATGAACATTCTGAAAATTTTTGTTATTTATGTACATACTACTATTCCAATAAAGATAACTTAATACAAGGAAGTAAAAATAAAAAAAATTAAGACTATAAAATTTTCCAAAGAAATATATTAACTATACTTTATTATCTAAAGATACTTTAAACTAATAAAAGCAGGTTGAAAAAAGCCTTTTAATAATTGTAGTAAACATGCATGAATTAATTACATAGATCAAATGAATTGCAGAAAGTAAGATTGTCTTTAAAGATCTTTCCCATAAAATTTATTTCCAGTGGGTAATGGACACATTGTGATATTGCTGGAAATGATCAGGTTTACCGTCTTGCTAAGAGAGGAGCCTTAGTGACCCAAAGACACCCAAGAATTCCAGCAATCTTTCTACTAATATCATGTTATATATAACTTGTTATATATGATGTTATGATATGACAATGTTATATATAACTTTACATTGGGAACTGCAGAGGCATCAAAGAATGTGAGCTGGAAAATCCTAAATAAGAACCCTGTAGAATGTGTTTTTAAGCTCCTAGCTGTGTTATCAAGACCCTAGCTGTGTTCTCAAAAGTACTTTAGAATGCTGGCAGAACATGACTGTCTGAAGTCTTATCTCTATCAAATTGGCTTGGCCAACTCATCTGACTGTACTCTTTGTGGTTCTGGTCAGTCTATGATAGTTAAATATTTGAATGTATGCTCTGCATTAAGTAGCTTTATTTCGATTGTCGAAAAGTATTGGAGAGCATGCGCACTAATAGCATAGGTGCTATTTTATGCTGTGTGTGACACTTTTAAAATAAAATTTTCAACTTAGATCAAATCTACAACACAAAAGGGAGAGCAGATTAATAAATGGTAATATTACTTCTTCAGGAACAGCCCAGGTATCATCCCAATCAGAACTTTCAGCAGTTAAAAGAGCAGAATCTGTGGATGCACCACTTCCAGGATGAGACACATTTTTCATTACTGATTCATATTCTCTCATTTTTTTCTCCTTTTCCTACATATAATGTTAATTGTTTAAAAAAAATTGTTTTAATTTTAAAGCTGAAAGCATTTTTTTTTTTTATTCGAGCAAATTAATATAACGCATTCAAACTTAGAATACTTAAATCAAAACAAATGATTTAATCTAATAAATAAATTAATTATTTTAAAATAAAAGGTTTTTAATTCCTATAACTTAAAAAATATCAAACTTACTTGTTAAATTTTTAGGTATATATTTTATACCTACTATACTTTATACTATATTTTATACTTTTAAGTGACATAAAAAATAAATAAAAAGAATTTAAATAAGGATCCAACTTAAAATTTTACTGAATTTGTTAAAAAATTTAAATTAAAAGTGAACATACTTTCACCCAATAGAGAAAAAGATTAAATTCAACATTATTTTTAAGAAAAATAATAATTTCAACTAAAAAAAAAAAAAAA